GAAATTAAATCGGCCATTTTATTATCGAGAGATGTAGCATTAGTATAATAACAATTAACGCTATAGTTTGTTTTTTTGTTATGAAGATTTTTACTTTTGTATTTTAAGTTTGCTGGTAAAAGAGTGGAAGAAGGGTAGTAATGTTTATGTAGTGGTTTGTATATTTTTGAGTTTGACGACTCCGCTGCTTCGTATACCGTATTTAAAGGGCGATGTTTTTAAATTGACATTACTATTTAATTCATTACGCTTCATTCTTAACTGATAGTTTAAATATCTTTCAGCCTCAGTCAAATCTGGGCTTATAAAAATATTTTTATAATTATCAGAATTTTTCAATTTTTTTGCTGCTGTTAATAATGGGTTTCTTTCGGAGACATCAGAAAGTTCGACGATAATTGGTCCTGGTTTAGAGGACGTAGATTTAATACGTTTGACAGATTTTGGTTTTGCATCAGATGAAATAGTAACTAAGATATTCTGAACCGTTTCCTTATCGTCGATATGCTTATCAGCAACTGATAACGTTGCAGATTCTTTAATGCCATAAATAATAACATTTTTTTCACGCTTCATTTTTTGCTGTTGCTCAATGGCAAATGTGTTGATAATTTTTAGTTGTTCAATAGGCTGCTTTTTTTTATGTTTTTGCTTGCAACTGTAACCCAGCTGGATTCGATACTACTGGTTGTGGTATTAGTTAGCTCATTAGGATTTTGGATTAGCTTATAGTGATGTTTTTATGTTTATTTATTTGTTACAATTATTGCAAATTTATTTGTTACAATTATGACAAACAACTTATTACACAGGGACTAAAAAGATTCAGTATGTGTTTTTTTCCGTGTTATCATATTTATTTGTATATATTTAATTTCTTTATATTATTTGTATATGTTTATATATAACTTTTTTATATGTATTTTATATATAATGGATATATAATTTACTAATATAGTTTGTGTCAGAGCGCAAAAATTTAGCTTATTGTTCAGAAAACTAAAAACAAAGAACAGGTGCAAACGCAACTTTTGGCGAAGAAAAAGAAAAAGAAAAAAAAAAAAAAAAAAAAAAAACTTTTTATAACTCTGTAAAAAAAAAAAAAAAAAAAATTAAGCGAACTAAAGCATAAAAAAAAATCTCAGTTATAACTATTTTTATAATAGTAATATATAAATAAAGATATATATAATAAAATATAAGTATAGGTATAAAATTTAAGAATTATATTTAATTTAGGTATGCGAAGTACAACAAAAACTGTATTATAGACACGAATAGTTAATATATTATTATAATTTTAAGTAGAAAAGTAATTAATAAGCTAATTAGATAAAGCAATAAGTAGAAAAAGAAGTAGTGGTTAGAAAAAGTTAGAAAAATAAGTAAAAAAGAAAGATAAAGAATACGGAAAAAAAAAAAAAAAAAAAAAAAAAAATTTAAAATTCCTGAAAACTTACGCTCAAACAAAAACACGTCTTATCGGCTCAAAGGCTTAAGCGATATATCAATAGCGATATATATTTTTACACTGTTTTGGTTTGAAAACGTTTTAGCTTTATATAGTAAGCCAATATATTGGATATTTTGTTTTCTAATAATACTTATGTGTTCACGCCATGTGAGATTTTTGTCTAGAAATACTCCGAAGAACGCACATAATTGCTCCCTTGATGTATTAGAATAATCAATACAAAGATAGGGTAGTTCTACACAAAGATATACAAAATTTTTTGTCTTTTTAATCTTTATTTTGGCTGATCATTTTTGCTGTCTTCTTTTTTGTTTCTAGAGCAGAAATTCAACTTTTTGCTAAGTATAATCTTGCATTGCTAAAAAAATATATAAATCAATTTAAAAACAATTAAGTTATATTTAAAGTTAATGCATAAGCCTAAAGTTGTTACCTGTTGTTTGCAAACTAAATATAAACAATATCCAATAGAATCAATTAAAAACTTAAAAAAACAAAAATAAAGTCCCTCTCCCTCAGAACGATAGAGTATATATATATAAATCAAAACATGGTTGTTTTGATTTAAATTAATAGAATTAAATCAGTTGATTTAAATTGATGTAAATTATGATTTATATCGTAAGAATAAAAACTGTGATTTAATTAATTTTTTTTTTATTATAATTGTTTTTAATGATTTAATCCTATAATTTAATTAATTGATATAGACATTATTAAAATCACTTTTTGTACACTGTTTTAATATATTGTTGGATGAGGTTTCCCAATCAAACACAGAAAAAATCAAGTAAAAGAAAATATTCCAAATGTAAAACATCAGATTCTATCAACAACAATGCCACTCTAGTATTTATATATAAAATTTTATATCCTATAACACTTGTATTTATAGTTTGAAGGTATTAATAATACAGTTATGAACTATTTTTGTGTACGAGTGTGTTTTTATTTTATTTTTTATTTCTATACTTTTTACTGTTTGGCATTTTATATATTTTATTTTGGTAGCAAAGAAGGAACTTTAAATATCTTCTTTTTAAATAAATCAAACATTTAAAATGTCAACACAATAAATACAGTATTGAAAAAATAATAACAATAACTGTAAGATCTAACGCAATAATTTTTTGTTTATTGTCTTTGTTTTTATTTTGATAATTTAGAGTGTACTAAAATGTTATAAGAGCCTCTTGGAGTTAAATTCTTATAAAATAGCCTTCAGAGATTCTTAATATATACGGCCTATTTGACTAAATTTTATAATTTTAAAAAAAGAAAAGATAGTATTAAAACCTTTTTTTGTTTTGCAAAACGATGCCATTTTTTAATACGTTATATTTAGTCAAATTAAACTTGGTTGGCCGCTATTTGCCGTTAACTGTAAAACAAAATTATTTTTGAAAAAAAACGGAAAGCTCAATTTAAATTAGAAAACGCATTCATAAAGATAAAACATAAGTTATGATTGGTTAGAATATGTTTATATTTCTAAGTGATTGACTTTTAAAGGAAATAACTTATAATAAAAATATTATACATTTAACAAACACTTACAAACGCATTAAATGAAAATATTAAATTTATTTTTAAAATATTTACTTTTATTTAAACAAAATTTTATTAAAAACTTTATAGTAAACAAAACATTATGTCGGAACGTTTTCTCTAAATCCTCTTACCTGTCCCAAATGTTCAAAGAATGTTCATCTTTTAAACGATGTATTAAATAGTTTTAAACAAAAAAACTACTTTTTTATATAAAAACTTTCGCTATTAATATCTTAAATAGTCATTTGACGAATTATTTAACTTGTTTAAGACACTCTGAAATTTATTCAGAATTAATGCAGTTGTGCTTAAACTTAACACTATCCCAGACAAGGGAACCATCTATTAAAATATATTTTTCATACAACCTTCTATACTTCTGCATATAATACATCTACAGACAAGTGCATTAGACTAATAGCCGGCTTAGTTTTGTATTTAAAACGTTTGACCTTTGAATCAACCTCTGTTGGTTGTATTTACAACTGGACTAAGCTAGTATAAGAAATTTAGCTTTAAAATGCTTTGAAGTTTACGCATTAAATTTCAACAAACAACGAACAAGATTAGTTGCTTCGAATATTTTTTTAAGGAAGCCAGAGGATCATTACAGATCTGGTTGATCTATTGTAATTGCTTGGTCAAAACTTGTTTATTTTTTGTAGAAAGAATAGAAACATTAATATGTCCTTCTTATGCAAAATTAGTTTAAATTTTTAATTTTTACTTTTTAGCGACTTCTAATTGTCGACGAAATACTAAAACATTACTTTGTTGCAAAATGCGCATGAAGTTTTTTATAAAATTGCAAAATTAACAACTGTTATGAAAAAAAAAAATTCTAAACAACTTTTTTTCAAACTTTTATAGTCTTATTAGTATATCAATACTTTTCTAAAACTTTCGTTTTCAATTGATTTTATATATATATTTTTTTGATGGCTATCTATTAAATCAAAATGTTGTACGGTGATCTCAATCATAACTGAGTGTACATTTATCGATTGAATAATTTAGAAACTGGTGCAATAGAATATAAATTTAAAGATGACCTTAACTATACATTCATTCATCGGGGTATTAGAATATACATATATTGATTAACTTATCTATTTATAAACGGACTATACCTTACATAAATAGATGAATAATTTTGATTTAGTCATTTAATACAAAAAGTTTTTTATTTATTATTCAAAAATTCATTGATTTTTCATTGAAGGCAATGAAAACTCAAAAATCAAAAAAAAAAAAAAAAACAAACAAAAACAGCTAAAACAAATTTCAACCAAAAAAGGTAAGCAAAACCATTCAAATATTTAAAGAAGTTTTTTAATTTTAAAAATAAAATGCTGTTATATAAATCAAATTGATATAACAAAATTTTAATTTAATATTCTAAATACTTATTAACTTCTTATTCAAGTTATTTAATTTGTATGCAAAAATGTATTTGATTAATTTGAGAAGTAACAATTCGTTTAAAATTTCTTTTCTTTTTTTTTTGCAGCTTTTATTTATATTTGTTTCGTTTTTTCATAGTTGTATTTACATTAACAAATTTGAATATAAAACCAAGAAGTTTTTAAATATAAAATTTTTAAATATGAAAAAAAAAAAAAAAATTTTTATAATAAAACTTAATTTATATAAATGCAACAAAAAAAATTAAAGTTCCTAAAACTAATCGAATGATTTTGTTTATTTTGCCTTGTTTAAACCTAGGGTTAAATAAACAAACTTTCCGAGCCTACTTTTTTTTTATATATAAATAAATTTTTATTTATATATAAAAAAAACCATTTTTTTTTATATATAAATAAATAAAACTAAAAAGTAAGAAAATAAAATGTACTAAAAATACTTAAAAAAATTTTTTTCTGGAACAGCTGGACGATTTAGTTGATCCAGCGAAAAGGAAGTTGTTAATGATAATATTATCTGTTTATAATATAACTTTTCAATTTTTGATTAGAAGATTGCAGATGGTATAAAGAAACAACAAAAATAGTTGAAGCTAAAAAGCATATTTATGAACCTCTTATAATTGACTCTATTTTAATATCTGTAAACATGGCTGTAAAGTTATACAAATTAAACGGAAACCAATTTACATTGGGTAAAGAATACTACGGACCCGATTTTATTGACTGCATTTCGGAAACGTATACACACTTTGAAATTAAAAATCACAGTAAGATAGTAAAGGTAATAAAGATTTGTTCAAAAATAAATTGTGAAAGCCTTCATTTACCAGATGAAAACACATTGTTGTTTAAAAAATTGGCTGATTCTAATACAGAGTGTAGAGTAGCCTACAACAGCATTTTCAGTTTTAAGATTCCAGATGGTGTTGCAATAACATTTTATAGAGAAAAAAATAATAAAAATATTATGGGCCCGTTTACTGGTCCAACTATGGTATCAGACAAATACAAGTCATTTGAGACAACAATTCATCAGTTTCGATATATAAAAATTGAAAATACTGATACAAATATATTACAATTATGCGAAGGTAAGGACTTCACTAAAGAATGCGTTTATTTCTATGTTGCTAATAAAAAGTGTATCTCAGATCTGTTAATTAAAAACGTGTTATCTATGAAGATACCAAAAGGAATGTATATAGTCGTAACTAAAGATGATTCGACAAATCGAAAATTCATCGAAGGTAATTTTAATGTTCCAGAAGAATGGTATAAATTTAAAAAGCTACAAATGTTTAATACTATTGACAATAGTTAAAAAAAATTTATGCATTTTTTTAAACATGTATTATTAAATAAAGAAAATAAATGATAACGTTAAATATTTGTTTTAAAATAAAGATAAGAGTAAGGGTAAAGATTAGAATTAGGGTTAGGGTTAGGGTTAGGGTTAGGGTTAATAAGTTTGACACTCAGAACAAGGTTCTTTGTCAGGGTTAATAAGTTTGACACTCAGAACAAGGTTCTTTGTATCGATCGTGAAAAATAGGCTGGTAGTCTAGAGAGAAAAAAAATGTTATAAGAGATCTACAAAAAGTTTAAATGTTAGTAAAGTGTTTACGCAAAAATTGGACAGGTGGCCAGAGAGAGTTTTATCAATTATAGTAGAAGGAGGAGGAGCTAAACAATGTTCATAAAATTATTTTTAGTACAAAATTTTTTTAGTTTATCATTTTTTTAAATCTGTAGTGGTGGTTTAATTTTTAAGTTTATAATTTTCTTAAATCTGTTATGGTGGTTTAATTTTTAAGTTTATAACTTTATCAAATCTGTTGTGGTGGTTTAATTTTTAATTATATATCGGATTGGTTATATACTTACGTTGAAGCTTAGTGGGTTGAGGTTTCTCTTTCGAATTTTTCTTTTCTACTGTCTAGCCTTCTTTTATCTAAGATGTTTATGGTGATATGATATTTTTTTGCATTCATTTTTTCTTTAATTGTCTAATCCCAATGGGTTTAGATGTAAACATAAGTTTTGAAAGAGTATTCATGTAGAGTGAGGCAATTTTATTAGATTCTTTTACATACAAGACATATCGTATTTTTCTTATAAATTTTGGCTTTTTTTCAGTCTTAAGTAACATAAATAGTAAGTACTATACTATTTTAACAAGTTTACTAGTTTTTAACACTTTAAGGTTTAATGTTTATTTAAATCTTTATTTAGTTCTATGCGAAATTAGACTGTTTTTAACACTTATTTTATATGTTTAGTAGTTTAAAGTTTTATCATTTATTTCTGTTATATTATTCTTATGATAAAAATCGGACTGTTTCTATCTCCTTGGTTAAAGCAGGTGGTCGCCTCGTAACTGTTTAAACACAAAATGATCGAGTAGTCTGATTCGCAGCGGAGTGATATTATTGACTGCCAAATAGCCTGATTTGCATCGGAGTGCTGCTATATCGACTGATACGTAGCCTGATTCGTGGTGGAGTACTGCTGCATCGACTGACAAATAGCCTGGTTCGTGGTGGAGTGTTGCTACCTCGACTGACAAATAGCCTGACTCGTGGTGGAGTGTTGCTATATCGACTGACAACTAGCCTGATTTGTGGTGGAGTGTTGCTACATCGACTGACAAGTAGCCTGACTCGCGGTGAAGTATTGCTCTATCGACTGACAAATAGCCTGACTTGCGGTGGAGTGTTGTTACATCGACTGAGGGTCTGGGATGGGGCAGCATTCTTTTTATTTTTTAAAGTTACAAATTATTGTTAGGTTCCTATGGCTATAACATTTAGATTTTATAGTTTTTTAAGTTCTTTTTGTAGAATTTAATGTTTGAACTCATTAATGTTACAAATTATTGTGAGTTTCTTATTGCTATAACATTTAGAGTTTATAGTTTTTTAAGTTCTTCTTATAGAATTTAATGTTTTCAAATACACTCGAAGTTTTTAATGTAAAACGATTTAGTTGTTACTATTTAGGGGGTGTCTCCTGTTTATATTATTCTTAAGTGAAAATTCATTAAGGCTGTTTATTTGTTTATATTATTCTTTAAGAAAAAATTAAATAAAGCTGTATATAGAGTACTACCTCAAGATAAATGACCATAGCGATAGATCAGATATTAGGTGTAGAGGGTGTTGGTAAGGAGGTTAATATGAGAGTTTCTAATTCTGATTAATGACGTTTAAACATATGGGTGGAGCATATTAAAAAATTATTAAAGTTATACTACGTTATTTAATTCTATTAAAACTATTTCAATATATATTTGTTTATTAAATTGATTACGCTACGTTTCAAAAAAAAATTTTTTTTTTTTTCTATATATTTTAAATTAGTTAGAAATTAAATACATTTTATAGAAGCAAATATTATGAAATAAATGTATGTGCGTGTATGTCTCACTTTGGGAGTGTCCTACTAAGCTCAAAAAGGTATTCAAATTGTTGAGAGATGTGTATTTCAATAACGAAGAGTCAATGAATGGTGTTAAAAATGAAAAAAGTAAAAAAAAAGATAACTGACGCCTGCGGGATACGAACCCCAGTCTCCGCGGCGAAAACTCATGACTTGACTAAATGAGCTAAACGATTTTATACCTATAAAAAATTTATGTTTATATGATTTAAAATTAATAAACCATAATGGGTGAACTCGATGAAAGAGATATGTATGCATGATATATAAGGTCAACAAATAGTCATATCAATTTGTAATTGTGTGTGTGAAAGATGATTACATGCGCAGTGACAATCAAAAACTTATGACTTTAAAAGAAAAGGTTAAATAGTTACAGGCGCTGTGTGCTTTAACTGACTAACTAGCAATAGGGATAAATGCAGTGTAAATAAAACATGGGAAAAAGCGTTTAAAAAATAAGGAGTAAATAATGCATAACTATATAAGGTCATACAGAAAAAATGTGTGTGTATGAGTCGAAGAGAAATGTGTATGCTTGCCTCGCTTGTACAGTTTTATGAACTCAATTAAAATAGAGGAACTTACAGTCTTATAGAAGTGAATTTGAATTCAATCTCAAAAAAAAGGGTATAAAAATGGGTATGAGTCTTATTTAGAGATGTCTACTCTTACTTTTAGATGTTATCTTTGTGTTATCTTTATCTTTGGGCATTCAAAAAAATGTAAAACGCTGAGAAACGCTGTGAAACAATTGGAACGGAATGGGAAAGAAAACTATCTAATCATTTAATATAGAAATTGTGTGTTGTAATTTTTTTGTTATATGATTGGATAGTTTTCTTTTCCATTCCATTGTTTCATAAGTTTCTTTTTAGTTGAAGTTTTAGTTAAAAGTCAAGAATTCATAAATATAATCATTTGGTTTTTGCTCTCTGTCATGGTCTGCTCTGATTATACACTCTATTCTATTGCTTTAATAATAATAATAAGATAATAATTATTATAATTACGTTATAACTATTGAAGTATTACAGACAGGGTGAGGGTAAGTTAGTAAGTTATCATGAAAAACTGTGTTTCGATGCTTTTGCAAAAGTAAGTAATTGTAAAGTATAAAAAGCTTTTTCAAAAATAAGCATATGTAAAGTGTAAAAAAAGATGTTAATAACTAAAAAGTATTTTTGAGAAATTTTATTTAGCAAGCTTGTCAATAAATAATTAAAAAATATAATTAATCTACTTTATTTTATATTTTATTATCCCTGTTATAAATTAATATACGTCTTGATTGGGTAAATTTTGTTAGCTAGTTTGTTTTTATAAAATATTTCTAAGTTAAAATTTGCTAATAGATACATAATAGTTGGTATTTGCTAATAATACATAACTTTATATATAAATACAGCTTTTTTAATAAAAAATATAACGAAAACAATTTTGGCACAAAAAAAACTGATTTTAACCCACTGAGCCTTCCACTCATTAGGAAATCATTGTCATTGTCACATACAAAATATAAAAAAACGCTGCTTCTGAAGGAAGCACAAATTTTAAATGAAGAGAAATCGGGTCAATTTAATAACAATATTTTGCTTAATCTGGTTTCGCTAATGGTAATATAAAACCAGAGATTTATAGCAAAATGGCACTCTTTGCTTGTCAAGTTGGTTCAGGAAAAACAACTATATTAGCATTCAAGTTAGTTTCTCATAAATATGCTACTGTTGTCAATGTCGATTATGATCACACCCAAGTTTACTCCAAAACCAATTCTTCCAGAGGCATCTTCTTATTGAACAACTAAACATCCTTCTAGTCATTTAAATGCATATAATGCTGTCTGTGGTTAACTTGATAGTCAAATTATAAGTCCGGCAAGAGTGGACCATAGCGAAATGGCTGTAGCAGTTGCGTTAGCATCTGCAGCTGATGGTCAGCGTTTTAAATGTATTTTAAATAATTATGATGCTTCTGACACAAATATGTCAAAAAGTGTACCTGGAAAAGATTATTTAAAAGGAGTCTACCTGACAAGCTGTGAGCTACTTGAAAACTTTTTTATAAACTTTACACATTTTTAGAGAACATCTATTTTAAAGAATATCTATCTATTTTAAAGAACATCTATTTCTAAGAATATGTATCTAACAGCCATGTGACCTCATGTTTACCGGCTGGTAAAGAAAGCAATGATATGGTCATCTTTATGAAGTCAGATAAAATATATATAACTATGCGCATACAAATAAAAAGCCTTAAATAAAACATATCAGAAAGTTGTTGTAAAATTTGTATATTGAAACTTGCACTGGTGCGCTGTGCGCCAAAGCGATCTTTTTTTCCGTAAACGGTGGCTCCAAATTTAAACGGTGGCTCCCATTTACGGTAAAAGTAAATTTTGAAACTAAACGAGAAACGGCAAAAATGTAATCATAAACGCCATATTAAACATGCTTTCGCTCTGAGTATGATGTAAGCTATCGAAGATATAAACACAATTGCTCCTATGTAGAAGTTTAGTATTTTTGTTTTAAAACAATAACTTTATTTTAAGTATATTCTTTTTAAAAATTAAAAAATAATTATTTTTGAATTAAAAATGTAAATTGAATTTTATTAAAGTTTGTGTTAAGTTAATTTTTAATAAATTTATTTTTCGCACATAAGCCTTATGTGTGTACCTTATGAAGGTAGTAAACAAATTTAGTAAACCAGCATAGCCGATAAAATATAGTAAAGTTACCTATCAGATGAGTTAGAAAAAATGGATGGTAAGGATTTATAAAGTAGGTCGAGCCACTAGAAAAGGTTCATGTTCTGGAGTAAAACTACTTGATTAAGTAATAAAGGTTTTTTAGAAAAATGCAAACAAAATAAAAGGCATTTTATTTATTAATGACATGCAGCTTGATTTTTGGTCAGGTAAAGGAACAATAGAATGTAA